AAAGAAAACTTTCACAATAAATCTGTTGAGATGTTTTTTTAAATTGTGGGGTTTTTGTCAGAGCAAGGCAAGAGGTGGATGATGTCATCGGGATGAAACGAGACATAAGCTATGACGACCTGGGTCAGCTGATCTATCTCTCACAGGTACAAGTCTTGACACTGGGGAAAATATGGTTCAGCTTTTCAGGAGTATCATTCACTCATGTATACATTCATTCATTTATTTACCTCCCTCCAGGTGCTAAAAGAGACTCTGAGGATTTACCCGACGGTTCCAGGTGTAACTCGTGAGCTTCCTGAAGACATGGTCATCAGTGGTATCCACATACCTGGAGGATGTGTTTGTGCTGTGAGTCATTCACTTTTGAATGTGTTTGTACCTCAAAATCCAAAAGGGTTTCATACACTATTGTGCTTGTTTTACATACATAATGGACAATCGGCACTTCCCACTTAAAAATACATGACAAAACGACACTTTTTACAAATATACTTAGCTGTCAAAATGTGCAATACATTTCTCAGTTCAGCTCCTATGCGACTGGCAGAATGGAGAAATTCTTCAAGGACCCACTGACATTTGATCCTGACAGATTTCACCCAGATGCTCCGAAGTAAGTCTTGCCATGTTAGAGCATTGCCACAGAGGACACAAGGAAATGGACTATATTAACTGAAGTTGTCGCTTATCTGTTTTGCAAGGCCTTATTACTGCTACTACCCCTTTTCCCTGGGTCCACGCTCCTGTCTGGGACAGAACTTTGCTCAGGTGCGTGGTGACAAAAGCACTTGTAAATAATCAAAACCATTCACATAGGCACACACAATAACAACATACTGAATTAGTCTAATGGTTGATGTTGTGTTGTCAGATGGAAGCTAAGGTGGTGATGGCCAAGCTGCTCCAAAGGTTTGACTTCACTCTTGTCCCAGGACAGACATTTGACATCCTGGACACTGGCACACTCAGGCCAAAGAGTGGAGTGGTGTGCACTGTCAGTCACAGGAATGATAAGAAATAGATGGTCATACAGTACCATAACATAAGAACAAACCATAACTGTCTGTGTGGTGAAATTGGGTTGTTGAGTTGCTGAAACCAGCTAACCAGCTTACAGCTACAAGTGCATGATTAGTTTTATTTTTTACAATATTTCTTCATTCTATGTAAAGAAAATAATATCACATTAAATTCAGTGCCAATTATATTCAGTTGAAATGCTGATTATGGTAATTATGATCATTTATTTTCTGGGTTAGTTACATTATCAGGCCCCACGATGGACCTGCAACCTGTCCAGGGTGTACCCGGCCTTTCGCCCGATGCTGGCTGGGATTGGCTGCAGCCCCTCCTTGACTCCGTTTGGTACTAAGCGGTATAGAAAATGAGATGAGATGAAATGAGTTACATTATAATTCGCTCTTTAATTTTGTTGAAATGAACCATTTAGTTCTGTGTAATTGCTCTTTTAATACCACTGAGGCAGTGAATCTATTGTGCCTTTAAGGCTAATATAAAATACAGAATATGCAATTAATAATTATAATGATAATTGGAAATAAACCACATAATAGGATGTATAAAATGCCCTCACCATCTAACGCACATTTTCACTGATGCAAAAGTAATTTGCATTCTTTGTTTGGTACGTTAATATACTGATGATGAATTTAATACCTGATTTCACTGAGATTTTTACGTACTTTTGGCCATTACTGACAGCGTACAGCAGAGGGCGCTGTTACCATGCAAAGAAATCTCTGAAGTACCTGTTAAACTATAGTCTCGCTCAGTCATGTCAGTAATTTTGGGAGTTTGTTATAATTTTTGTAAGAAGATTTTTAAAATGTGGCGGAAACTAATACCAGTATATTGGGGGTTATTTTGTACTTTAAAACCACACAAGTTAAAAAAATTTTGGCTACAAATGTTTAAAGATGGAGAAAGAATACCACTTTACTGATTTGTAAAAAAGTCTAACATTTAAACTTAGTGAATGTAAAGCTAACTATACCTCTCTAAGCTGTTTAATAAATTTGTACTTTAATGTAATAATAAAATATTTTAAAACATCCTTGCTTTAGTCTAATGCTCTATAAAAATAAAATAATGTTGTCCCAGTCCTGAGCTGCTGTTCCTTTAAGATGGCTGAGCCTTGTGAGGCTTCACAGGACTCTTCATCTGCCTGCAAGGGATGGGTGATACCAACATTCTTCCTGTCGATATGATACCATTAGTTTATGGTACTTTTTCCATCGATACCGATACCGATACTTTTTGCATCTTAAAGGAAATTTACTTCCATTAATAAAATTCTAGAATCAAAACTGTCAGTATTTTCTGATATATACAGTACAATCATATGAACCTTTACGTTTGTAAACTAAATGAGAGTGGAGAACATGGCTTAATCCAAGATTCATATAGCTCAGTTGCAGTTTGGGGTAGTTTAATAAAATAATGGCTCGTTCAATTTTTAAATTACTTATAACACATCAACTGTCACATGTTCCTGGATATTCTTTGCCTTTCACGAAACTCTCCTGCAGTGTCTTCTGACAGACAGCAGGTGGTGCAGGGGACTTTGAGACTTGCTGCTTGTCTTCATGGCGATGTTCAGCCTCTTTAAAAATGTCATGGTGTGTTGTTTTTAAATGCTTTTGCTGCTATGTGGCACCACTTTATTGCAGACGGAGCACATGGCATTACCTTTGGCCATGGGTGAAAAATAGGACCACACTTTGCTTCTTTTTCGCTCTCGGCCATTCACGCTGCGGCTGACTGAGGCTGACTGAACTCACTCTGAGCAGCAAAGGATTGAGACAGTGCTTGTCTGAGGCTGCGCAGTAAGCCTTCGACTCTGACATCTGATTGGCTGCCACAATCATGTGACACGGAAACCCGTCTAAAATACGCTTGGGCTGGTTTTCATACATAAATTTAATACCTAAAACGCTCAGAAGTGAAAACAAAGTGCAGGTTTTGTATTAGTACAGTGGTATCGCGATACTTAAAAAAGTATCGACTCCAAAATATCGACCGACGGGTATCGAAGTATCGATACGCCCATCCCTACTACTTGCTGCCGTCGGAGTCCGCACTGAAACTCAGGGTGGTACAAATAAATGTTCAATGTGCTCTGGTGTCAAATGCATGACCAAAGATTTTATTCTGTTACTGTACCGGAGCACTTAAGGGGCGACTGAGCTAACGCATTGTCCACTTTACATTCAACAGAACTTCATTTACCAAAAATGGCAGTTTTCCAGCTAATTTTGAACTGGACTTCGCAGGCGTTTATGTTTCTGTTCTTTCTAACTTTCATTGCGTTTCTTGGTTACTACTTATATATTAAATACATTCATATGAAATATGACCACATACCCGGACCACCAAGAGACAGGTACGTTAAGTGAGTTGTTGTTTAACTAATGTTAACGCTAGTGCATGCTAACGTATCTTCTTTTCACATTACCTAGCCTAGGTAGGCTAACACTATCTAAAACAATTGTGTTGACATTAACTTACCTGACACTTTGTTTTTGCCGTCAGCTTTTTCTTTGGACATACACCGACGATTTTGAGAATGATGAAAAATGGCGAAGTTGCACACGACAAATTTCTGAAATGGTAAGCACAAGCAAAGTTTATACATAACTATACAAAATCATGTGACAAGCTTGGTAAACGTTAAAAAACCTATTAGCGTAATAGAAGGTCAACTCAGAACAAATTGTATAGCAAACACCAGGGCTGTTGCTAGACATAAAGCTCCACTGGGGCACAGTCCCCACATTACTCAAGTCGCACAATTTGTATTCTTGAATGTCTGCTGCCTGAATAAATTGCACTATACATTTTGCCATGCGAACTTGTATTACGTACAGTATTTCTTTGCGTTCTTCTGCATTTCACAGTCATTCGACTGTCAAGCAGCCACATTTTTTATTTGTCAAATTTAAACTTTCACAACAAGTTAATATATCAACAAATCATTAATATAAAAAACCCACAGTCTGATCTTTTTTTTCTTTTCTAATTCATAAGGCCACATAACATATAGATGCTCCAACTACTTCAAAATTGTCTTGTGTAATGGATGGCTGGTGGTCACACAACTGTCCCCATAGGCACAGACAGCTTCCTCCACAATTCTCCCTTCCTGCCTCAGGCTCATCTGCTTGTTAAATGCGCATAAAACAAACACTGTTTGGCTTGTGTGAGATGAGTGACAATATTATGTTATAGGCTCTTCCTTAAATGCAGAACAAATAGTCCAGAGTTAACATAAACAACTACTTGTGATGCATTATATGCAACATAGGCTACTTGGCACTCATTAATTTCATGTAGGCTAGTACATGAAACTCTATAAATACCATTTTAAGAGTAGTCCAACTGATCATATGCATTGATGTACAGAGCTCTGATTTACTTTACGTTCAGAATCTGCACCTGGTTACGTACTAGCTAACTAAACTAACGTTCTGTTTTGTGTGCAATACTGTTGTGGAAAAAAGCTCAGTGAGTGTAAAATAAATACTTAGCATCAACTGTGAGAGTTATTACATATTTATTCCTGCAGGAAGGAGTGATCTCAACTCAGAATGTCCAAACAGTCTGATGGCGAGAAGCTCAAATGCCCAAAAGTGCAACTTCTCCTTTTATACACACACACATAACACTGCTGTGAACAAAGGCTCAAACAGATGGGAAACAAAATACCAGTTCTAAGTTGATACAAGCCATCTGGTTCAACAGTCACACAAAGACAGGAAATCTTTATGAACATGCTGACACAATAAACAGCCTGGGGTCACAACCACACAAATGCCTGCATACCATGACTTCAAAGCCACTGCCTATAAACTTAAAGGGTGCTGCCATAAAATTGCCACTACAAATAAACAGATTGTTGCATGCACGCTGCAGTGCACCAGCTACAACGTGCACACCGAACCCTGACCACTGACCCTCAGCTTGTATTTTGCTTTTGACATTCTTGATTGGAACAACAAATCAATTATCATTCTAAATTAATCCACTGCCAAATATAGTTGCTTGCTAAAACTCGAATGTGTCAGTTTACCGGGGCATGTGTTCTAGTAAAATGGGTCTCCCCTAGGGCAAATGCTGTGAGGACTGGGGGGGGGGGCGACCGTGGTGCGGTGAGTAGAGCAGTCGTCTCCCAACCAGAAGGTTCAAGGTTTGAATCTCGGTGCCTGCAGTCCACATGTCGAAGTGTCCTTGGGCAAGACACTGAACCCCCTGATGGTTTGAGCCATCGGTTGAGTTGGTGCCGCAGATGGCTGCCATCGGTTCTGTACCGGAAACAAATTCCTTGTGTGTAACATACTTGGCCAAATAAAGGTGATCATTAATGTATAAGTTAGCGTACACCCTATGATAAATTGTTTGGTTAGGCTTAATGTGCTAATGTGTATGCTCTTATATTTTATGACACAGTTTGTGTTTAAGTTGTCATTAAATCTGTGACTGTTTTTTTTCCATATGAAATAGTTTTTTTCTCTTTTGCATGTGTAACAATAGTTTCAATGTTACAAATATGCAATTATTTTGTCATTTACAGGGCTGAAATATATGGGCCTGTCTTAAGATTAAATTTTCTACATTACGTTTTCATCACTGTGAGCTGTCCAGAGGCAACCAAGGTACCTAAACACCACATGTCAAAGTAGTATTTGTGTAACCAGATGTTGCATGATGAACAGTGTGAAAGTGCACAGATAAAAAAGATTGACCTCCTTTGGCTGAAGTCCTCGCAAAATAAAAATGGCCCTACAGTGCCAACTGTTGTCCTTTTTGGTAAATAAATAAATTTATGCACACATGTATACAGTATATATATATGCAGTATGTATATACACACACACACACACATATATATATATATAAATCTCCCACTCACCCCCCACTTTTTGGGGCGGTTTTACGTTTCTTCCTTCAAGCTCGGGTCCTCTACTAGAGGCCTGGGAGCTTGAGGGTCTTGCGCAGTATCTTAGCTGTTCCTAGGACTGCTCTCTTCTGGACAGAGATCTCAGATGTTGTTCCTGGGATCTGTTGGAGCCACTCTCCCAGTTTGGGGGTCACAGCCCCCAATGTTCCTATTACCACAGGGACCACTTGTGCCTTCACCTTCCACATCTTTTCTAGCTCTTCTTTCAGCCCTTGGTATTTCTCGAGCTTCTCGTGTTCCTTCTTCCTGATGTTGCTATCGCTTGGGATTGCTACATCTATCACTACGGCCTTCTTC